TACATTCACAATTAATTTCTTGGCCTTATGTATATGCTTCTTGGAATTTCATTACTCCTGAAGGAAGGTCTGGGTGTCCAGACGTGGGTAAACGTGACGGTAGAAGTAGGTCCCTCACTGACTTGTAGGTGTACCAGGCCTAACGTTCATTAACCGGCACCAAACTCTCAAATGTGGCTCCTCGAAGCTACGCTCTGTCTAGCGGCCACACACCAGTTACCGCCTTGGTCGGCGGGGTAAACCAGGTGGGCGTAGCCGTGTGTGCTTCCCGCACGACAATTCTGCTCTCCTCCCTCCTCCCCCTCCCCTTCTTCTCCCCTCCTCCTCTTCCTTCCCTTTTTCCTCCCGTCTTTTTTGTGTCCCTTCTCATCCCTTTCTGCTTCCTTTTCCCCACCGCCCCTTCCCTTCCCCTTCTCATCCTACCTTCCCGTCATTCTCCCCTCCCCTCCTCCTCCGCTCTTCCCCTCCTGACTTATCCCCTTCTCTTCCCCCTTCTCCACCTACTACTCCTCCCTCCCTCCCTTACTTTCTACTCTCTCTACACTATATCCCACCCTTCTCACCACGTATTCGAAAGTCCTACGGCGAGCGCGACAAGGTGAAGTCCAAGTTCTATGATGAATAGCACGACGTTCTGTCGTCTGTATCGAAGGCGGATAGGTCGGCTGTCCTTGGCGATTCCACTGCGCGCATTGGTACAGACTGCCATGCCTAGAGGTTAATGCTGGTCCTCAGTGAATCGCTGGCTGCAACGACAATGGCCTTTATCTCCTGCGAACTTAGGCAGAACATCACATTCTGCTGACCAACACATTCTTCCGCTTACCTTTGCGGAAGAAGGCCACTTGGATACACCCCGGATCGCGACTTTGTTAGTTGTTGGACTATTTTCTCGTCCGGCGGCGAGATCGGCAGAACGTGATGGTGACCAAGGCCATCTGCGACGCCGATGGTTGGACGGACCACCACTTCGTCATCGTCAAGATGAGGCTCCGTCCGCAACCCAACAGGAGGTCACAAGTTAAGCGACCCCAGGTACGCTGAATGCTGCTATGTTGTCTTTGTCTACACAACGTCTGTATTTCAGCATTCATCTAGCCCAACGGCTTTGATGGGACCCCGACGGGTCTTTAATAAAAATAATTGAATTGAATTTTAAATCGCTGCCAGCGCCATTTGGAAAGCCTCCGCGGAGACTCCACGGGGCCCGCTGAGGTGGCTCTCATTTAGCCACCATGGGTGTCCTCGTCCGCGCACGCCGGCCGCATCAGGACTGGCTCATCGAAAACGACGCAATTACTAAACCTGCTCGTCGAAATAAACAGGCCGCACTGGGCGTATCTCAACCGTCCAATAAACGCAAACAAAGCGGCCTTCTATCAATATCGCCGTCTTGCGCAGCAATGGTTTCGAAGATATCCAGGCTTACACCGACTACAACGAATCAGAGAACTTCTTAATAGCGATCAAGGCGATTTACGGCACCCAACGAAAGGAGCCACGTCCCATCTCAGCTCCGATGGATCAACGGTTTTGACGGAGAACTTGCGAATTCTGAAGCGTTAGGCTGAGTACTTCAGGAGAGTTCTCAACCCCTCCTCAAATATCTCCGACGCCACCATCGACCGAGACCCCCAAGTAGAAATCAACGCAGACCTGGATCTCCCACCCTCGCTCGCAGAAACCATCCGTGCTGTGCAACAATTAGCAAGCGGGAAAGCACAATGCTTCGATGCGATCCCAGCTGAAATCTGCAAGCACGGCGTCCACCGACTGATGGACCAAATAACGGCCCCACTTCAGGAGATATGGCGCTGCGGGCACATTCTTCAGGATTTAAATTACGCAACCGCTGTCCATCGGTATAAGCGCAAGGGGAACCAGCAACTCAGTAACAATTACAGAGGCATATTGCTACACAACATCGCCGGGAGGATCTTCGTCCGCATCTTCCTCAATCGTCTTAACGGCCACGCGGAGCAAGCACTTCTACCGGAAAGCCGATGTGGATTTTGAAGTAACCGCGCAACCGCTGATATGAACCTTGCCACCCCCAGCTTCGAGAGAGGTATCAGTAGATGCGGACCCACCTCTGAGCAACCTTCGTTGATCTCGTGAAGGCCTTTCACGCAGTGAATTGAGAGGGACTACGTCAAATCATGCAGAAATACAGATGCCCCGTACAGCTCACACACATAGTGCATCAGTTCACGGTGGGATGATGGCGCGCGTCGCGGACAACGGAACAGTCTCCGAGGCATTTGCAGTGACTAATAAAGAAAAGCAGGGCAGCGTACTCGCGCCCACCTTTTTCAAACACAGGTCCGCTGGCATGATAATGGAAGCCCTCCGAGATTAGCGCCCTGCGATCCGCATCGACAGAGGTCAAGGTCAAGCTGTCGGTTTCAAATTTAAGACAAAGTGGAAGATTTTATTCAATGCAATTTTTCTAAGAAACATATGGAGTTTAAGACGTTGTTTTTAAGTAAAGTTATTTAAATGTAGTTATATTCTCTCAGAGAAATTATTTTCTTTTATTAAAGACCTGTCGGTATCCCACCAACGCAACTATCGGTTGCGATTTTTCGTTTGAATTTTGCTACTCTGTGCCTGTTGACTACCATTCACATTCTGCAATTCGCGTTTTGTGCATTCGAACCGTCTCTAATCGTGCACATTTTCTTTACACCGTTAACCTCACGATGTAACTCGACCGACGAATTAGTCAGAAATTTTAATTAATTGCAACATACCTCGAAATAGGATGAGAGAAAAAGTCAAAGATCGGCGAAAGCTATTGGTCCCTGCACCCAGATATGGCTCAGTTAAATCCAGATCGCTGTTATAGAATACGAGAAGGTAACAGGTCTGTTACTTCGCAGGTTTCCTATACCAGCTTCAGTGGAAATCAGAGCGAAAAACTCATATTTAGTCATCCCAAGACCGACACTTAGAAGTACCGCTACAGTTACTTCGTCTGCTGTCATTCGAGAGTGTTTCGCAGTTGCGGCTCCAGATCAGAGTCGACGTAAGCGGCTGATTCTGAATTTCAAGCGAGTTAGGTCCCTGAAGCTTAGTTGAAGGGCACGGTTTTCCGCCAGAGTAATTGGGATAAACTTCGCGTGAAAACGCATAATCTGTGCCATACTTCTGTGTGCAGTAGGAAAATGAGCTCAGTCTAGGTCAAGTTCTGGTGGTTGGAGGCGGAGAACGAAAAAAAACATGTTACATTTGATGCAGCAAATGCGGCCATTAGCGAGACTTCTGAAAGTAGATTTGAGAAGTAAAATTCCTTTTTATAAATCTAGTCGTACATTGCTGTGGTCTGGACTATAAAATGAAGGACCTAGTCAGCATGCGCCGCTGTGTGTTTCGGTGTGGTCCGACAGCAAGTGGTGTGAAAAACCCCCTGTTCACTATGAAGGCGGACTGCAAACCGGACTCTTTTTAACGAAAAAGACGACTTGCGGGCCTCCTCCTTCACGACGCCAGCTTTGTGGATGACGAACTCTGCCTATCTGGATGTTTTGCAGATGTACGCCACATACTGGACGAAAAGGCTGGGGTGTGCCTTGAACCACATAGTGGTAACTGATAAGCACGGGCATGCCCAGTGGGTGTTCTCTGCGTTTGTAACTCAGGGCGACGCCGTCAGCGTGCGTTGGAAGTTACTAAATTTAGGGAGAACATGGGGTCCGCAACTGATAACTTACGAAGTGTTTATAGATAGGGACGTCAGAGGATTAAAGCCCGGAGAGACGTTTTCCTGGAAATCAGGTTCTTATTCTTGATTTCACACTTCATGTGCTCCAAGGTTTCAAGAGAAAGGTGAAAGTTGTACATTAAGATGTAGGCCGGAGCATTCTCTTAACCTTTTCCGAAGAGCTGTGTATGCATACTCTTTAAAAAAATTTAGAATACCGATTAATAGCATGAGGGGTCGACTCCCTGAGCTATGGCCGTACTTTATGGGCAAATGATGGCGGTGAAGACGCCGGTGGGCCCATGACATTCGGTATAGGCTTGTGACGTACGGCGACAACACCCTGAATAAAATGGAAAGTTTAAATGGTGTTCTGAAGCAGTGGTGTGGGCTGTACATGTCTCTCACCGACTGCGCCCACGGCATAGTACAATTTTTGGAGTCTGCGATTGTAGGTAGTGATAGGCTAGACGCCGATGAGTATTTCCGTCACAGACAATAACGGAATGTGAGGCCACGTGTCATTCGAGCGTGCCAAATGCTGGCTGGGTACGCCTCAGACGTCGTGATCACCCGCCTTTCGGCTAACGTCGACGTCAAGCTTTCCAGCAGTGCGGTTGACACGTGCAGCTATGGCTTCTGTCGTCACTGGTAACCGCCATATGTTCACATCCTGAATTTCTTCAAGCGCCACAACGTCGATCCCCCTCGGGCTCTTTTAAAGAGCCGATGGGTTTTTCGTGTAGACGTATGTGAGAACCCCGTCGCTGACGAGAATGTTTACCCGGGGCCCTTACGTCCTTCCCGGTTGAAATTCACGTCAACAAAGGACTACGGCCGTTAACAAAGACCTACAAGTACAAGGTTGCCATGAGCCACGTGTAGCCTATAGGAAGTCCGCTATTCGAGGACTTGCTGCGGCGCTGACCGCGTCATGATTGCCCGTTCTGTTGTCTGCAATTGTTGCTTTTCGACTCCCATTCACGGCGGAACGTAGACGAATCGGAAGACGATACGAGGGACGAAGTCGTTACTTGTCAGATAAAAGGGGAGAGCGATGTGCTTGTCGCACAGTTGGGTTCTAACGAAGACCCATTCGCTCGTATTCTGCGCAATGATACGTTGCTCCCTAATTTCCGCATTGGAGGCCGGATACGCGCATGACGCCCCTGGTCGACTCGCAAGCTTCTAAGAAGTCGTACGGCGAACACAACTGTCTCCATGAATAGTGCAACACTAGTCGTAAGCGCATGAAATTCAGGATACCCAGTTGGGATTTGGCGGATAGGGCTGTGGAATGAACGAAACTGCGTTTGTGGATGCTTGTGGAGCCTGCGGCGGAAATGCCAACGTAAGTAGGGAATTCATTTGTATAAACGGGTTTCATATCCACACAAGTTCCATGAGCTTTGTGCTGCAAACCCCCTGATTTGTAGGTTGTGTACATTTTGCATCGACCTGACAGTTAGGTTTGGGCGGGGAACGATGTTACAAATGGCTGTGGTCTCATTTTACCGTTCCTCCGAAATGTGACTGTAATAAGGCGTTCAGTGACAACTCAGAACGGCTGTGACTTCTGACGCGACTGTGATAGTATTTTAGTGTGTAACGCGTGCGTAAGTTATCGTCGAACGACCCCATCACACCCTTCCAAAAACACATAACAAAGCAATGCATTACCCCGACCAAGGCGAGCCACCATCCATGCAGAGCGCCAAAACGCTCCAGAACATAGAAGGCCTGATATGCTGACTACTAAGAAGCGGAAGTCAGTAGTGCCGCATGTTGCGATGTTGACCACGTCCTGCAACTGCTATTGCAAATGTTACTACCTTATATTTGAATGCATTTTCTCTTTTTCTGATCCCCCAGATTTCAAATTTACCACATAATTTGTCATCTGCTACTGTTTTTTTGCTTTTGTTTTACTCAGCTGAAAGTGCACATTCTGTTGGTGTTTGAGTTGCATCTGGTTGCGTTGCGGTACCGCGGCTCTCTTTTATAGCCGAAACTCATAGTATTAATTACTTGCCAATATCGGCTGATTTTTTCTACGAAGAAGTCTCGACTCAGTCTGCATCGTTCCCACTCTCCTAGAGGTTAATTGTATGAGCAATACATTCATTTTCTGCGCCTTTCGCACATAAAATGGCCTGTCACTTTTCAGCTAGTGTTGAGAAACTTTTTGTAAGAGCAATTGTCTTTGTATGGGAGATTTTATGGTTTTTTAGTTTGACATTTGCATTTGCAGTGTATCCCATTGTTAGAAAGTTCAGTATCCTTTGTATTATCCACAACGGAGTCGGCCGTCTTACGTGTCCTTTGCGTTGCAAGGGCACTTAGTAGGTAGTATTTTCGAAAGCACATTGCAAAATGCATGCACATCTCCGTATAAGGCAGTAAATTTTCTAGTAAAATTTTGAAGCATTTGTCTATAGTAACCAGTATCAACTTTTCGGGTGTTCGGATAGGCTAGTAATCGTAGAGCTGTAAATAGAATTAAGTAAAGTCTAAAATAAGGCGATATTTCAGAGAGAACACCGACGCGAAGGTATAAGCCGAACAGCCTTAACGTGGCGCCGCTTATGACCTAAATTCACTTTTACGTCTAGCACGTTGGGGAAATTCGTCTGGTAGGTATGCGTTTACGGCGCCCTGTCGATTTTCAATTGCCTCCACATCCACGGGCTTAGGTAGCGATGGCGTTGTACGTCCGCTGACTTTAGAATGATGTTTTCTTACCCATAAATTAAGCAGTCATCACCACTCCTAAGTATACGAGATGAAGTGGATCTAGAGGAAATTTCGAAATTAAGCCCAGATAGCAAGTTAAAAAGAAGATATGCCAACCATGTGCTCGTCGTCGACGGACTGCAGAAAGTCCGCGTCCTTCCTTCCTCTCTCCCCTTCCTCTAAGCAGACTACTTTTTCCATGTATAATCCTACCACGGTGCAACGTCTGCATCCGTGATAGGCGTTCGTATTCTTAATTTGTTTCATGAATGTCCGAGCAGAGGCGTCACTGATTACTGCTCCGACCACAAAGCGTGCTGCTTCTCTCTCGTCCTTGATGCTCAATCCTCTTTCCTGTAGACATCGTATCTCCTTAACGAGTGAGTTATGGAAAGCGTGGACGTTAGACGGTTTCCCATTACCGCAATATATGCCTACTGGAAAAATGTTACTGACGAACGGCCGCACTATTACTCCTAATATAGGCCACATTTGGGTTTTGGATTTTCTGTAAACTGAGAGCCTGTCGATTGCCAGGTAGACCGCCACCTCAGCCTTCCGCGTTCTGGCAGTACCGTCGCTGCAAGTCAGCGTCCGCTTATTCGTCAGACGCTAGGACCTGCCTATTTTGCAGATTACCTTCAGTCAGGGATGTTTCATTATCCACCCCCTGTGCACGCCCCGGGTGGCGACCAATTAGGTCAACGGTGAACACGTCTTTCGAGAGAGCCGACCGAGATGGTCCGGCCACGGGCTACAGCGACTTACTAGCAAACTGGTCTAGGATATCGCCTCGTCAGATCAAAATCTTCCCGCCTGACGACAGCGTCCAGATAGCCAAGTGAGTACGCGGATGAACGTGGTGAGAACTGGCCTCGAGCTCATTACCACCACTCCGGTCCGTGCAGGTAGCACGCTAATGGGCTCAGATTCAGAATAAGATGCGACCGCTGGAACAGGAAGTTTGTTTGTCTGACGTTTACCATTCTCGCTCAAACTCGCCTATTCGGCTCCATAGGACTCACCTTCACTCGGAAATATGTCTCCGATTGATTGAGATAGAAAACGATCGTTGGTGGTGTGACAACCTTGCAACACGATGCCGCCCGACTTAGTTATAATCAATGCTGTTGCAAGCCAATTTACGTACAGACGGTAATATTTTGAATGAATATTGCTAAATGGGTTTGCTTATCCTTCAAAGCTTCAAAGGCAAAGCTTTCCAGCCGCATCTTTGATCAGAAGAATGTGTCCTTCATAATTAGTGGCTGTCAGCTTGGAGAAGTGGAAATTTTCACATACACCAGGAGAAATTACTGTCAAGTAGACAGAGCAAGGACGACATGGTCGCCAAAACTGACGTTGCCCCCGCGGATTTTTCCGGCCGTCAAAGGTGTCTTTGAACTCACTCAAATATGTCAATCGACAAGGTCAGCGTCAGTCCGGTCGGTATTCCTTGAAGGTTGTTATTGCTGGACTCTGCGCGTAGATGACCAGCAAAAGTTGACGGATTTTGACTGCTGCCGCCTGAGAACGATCTTTCGGCTGAGGTACACAGACTTTTTCCTTAATGAAACAGTCCGCCCTCTGTGACATGTTCACATCGCGACCATCGTCTCCTACGATGTCCACCGTGGCCTACTCCATCAAGCATGACCAAAGCCGTATAAAAAACAAGTAGGCTTCGTACCGTCATGGTAGTTTGTTCGTCATGCCCAACATGAATCACGCCTGCCTTACGTGGACGGTGGTTAATGCCTGACCACCGTTTTCTCCGTGTCAATGGTCATCCCGGAGTTGGCACAATCGGAGACAAAGAGGACCATGTTCCGTCGAATGTCCACTTCCGTCGCTGTGTTATGGGCGCAATCGTCCGCGAAGAGCTGATCGTGGACAGTAGCCGTGGAGAGACATGTTGGAGCCTGCTTGATTCGACCCATGAGAAGATGGTTGTCGATCCTTTAGGCGATGCGGGCCCCTAGGCGCCTATCATGGTAGGCGTATATCAGCATGGCATAGGGTGTGGGGCTGAAGAGAGTGGGCGCGAGGACGCAGTCCTGTTTCACCCCATTGGTCACTGCGAATGCTTCTAAGACAGCCCAATCGCACGTGACGGGCGCCATCACCTCGTCGTGCAGCTGATGCACCATGTCCGTGAATAGTTTAGGAAAGCCGAATTTGTGGATGAATTTCTAGTATGCATCGTGGTTCCTGTGTCGAAGTATTTCTCCAGGTCGACAAAGGTAGAGTAGAGATGGATCCGCATCTCGTGACATTTATTCTGTAGTTGGCGAGCGGCAAAGATCATGCCGAGGGCACCTCGATGACGGTGGAAGCCGCATATGCTTTCCGACGAGAGTCCTTGTTCCAGATGGTTATTGAGACGGTAGGGAAGGATGCGAGCGAAGATCATTCCGGCGATGTTGTGGAGGCAAAGGCCTCTGCGTTTGTCGCAGAGTTGGCGGTTCCCTTTCTGCTTGTAGAGGTTGACGATTGCGGCGTCCTTGCAAAGCTGAGGGACTTCCCCTTTGACGCCGCATCTCCTGGAAGAGCGTTGTCAGGTGATTCCTAAATTGGGGGCCGCCGTGCTTGTAGATCTCGACAGGGATCGCGTCTGCTCCGAGCGCCTTGCCGCTGGAGAGTTGCTACACGGCCCGGATGGTTTTCGTGGAGAGAGGGTGGGAGATAGAGATTGGTGTTGATCTGCACTTGAAGCAGACGGGAGATGGTGGAGGGGCGGTTGAGGACGCCTATGAAGTGTTCGGCCCATCGCTGTAGAATTTACGTCTTTTCATTGAGTAAAGTGGTTCCGTTGGAGCTGAGAAGAGGAACGATTGCTTTGGCTGTGGGACCATAGACAGCCTTGATGGCAGCGAATACGTTTTTCCACTGCTTGCGGTTCGCGTATCCCTGGATCTCCTCGACCTCGCGAGCCGTCCAAGTGTCCTGCACTTCCCACAAACGCTGTCGCAAAAGGCGGCATCTACGGTAGAAGGCTGCTTTGTTGTCGTCGGTTGTGTGGTTGACGTAGGTGCTATCACCAGTCACACGCGGGATGAGGACCGTGAGTCGGATTTCGTGAGCACGCAGATACTTGCGCTCGGACCCAACAAGACGGAGCGAGAAGTGTTGGAGGTAGTTTGTCTGACTCGCAGAGACAGTGACTTACGCGTACATTGGTTTCTAATGACTTCTGACTTTCAAAGCATCCACATCGTTCTCTCCTCTCTCAATTATACCTGGTGTCACGATAGGCAAAAGACCAAAGGCAAGAGAGGGCGTTGACGACTAACGTGGCGTGAACTTGCAGCTAAACTTGCCACCATACCGGCTCGGATCTCTGCCCCTGATGACCGAGGCTTAGGCATCCTTGTACCTATCCTCAAGAAGGGAGATAAGACAAGATGCGAGAACTACCGCGGCATATGCCTCATCAACGTTGCTGTGAAGATCTTCGCTACTGTCCTACTCAGGCGATTCCAAACTGTGCGTGATTCTAGGACAAGGCCAAACCGAGTCGGATTCCGCGCTGGACGTGGATGTGCGGACCAGTTATTTACACTGAGGGGCATTCTTAAATTTTGTTATTACTACCAACAACCGACGGTCGTCTGCCTTGTTGACTTTGCCACCACGTTCGATTCCGCCCATTTTGAGTCCCTGTGGCACTAGATGGTGTACCGCCAAAAATCCTCGCCATGATCAAGGTCTATTAACGCGCCACCACCACTCCAGTTCTGATCCATAACAATCCCAACCGTTCGGTATTCGGTCTGGCGTCCGACAAGGCTGTATCCTGTTGCCAATTCTGTCCAACTACGCTATTGAATGGATTCTCGGGAGGGTCCTACACGAAGGTGAGGGTGTTGAATTTGCACCCGGACACCGACTGACTGATCCAGACTATGCCGAGGATTTTGCCTTACTTGCTTCAAGTATTGGTGATCTGCAGTCTATGGTGTCACGGGTGAACGAGGTTGCTAAATCGGCCGGTTTATCTATAAACGCCGCGAAGACTTAAGTGTTTTTAAGCTGCATCCCTGACCAGGAGAAGGCACCCCTCGGGATTGATGGCTGTCAACTTGAAGAAGTAGACAGTTTTACATACCTCGAGGCGAGGCTGTGCCTAATGGACAGAGTAAGGAGGACACTGTCTCCCGAATTGATGCTGTCCGATGGGTTTTCTCAAGCATGCGAAAATACATATGCATCCGACGTGACCTCTCCATCGCCACTAAGATTCGCGTGTACCGTGCATCTGTCCGGTCTGTCCTTCTCTACGGTTGTGAATGCTGGGCTTTGCGCGTGGAGAACGAGCGAAAACAGGAGGTACTTGACCACCACTGCTTGAGGATCATCCTTCGATTGAAGTACACCGACTTCTTCTCAACCGAGACAGCCATCGCTCGCTGCGACAATATCTCAAGGATAACTCAGGCCATCCAGCAAAGACGACTGAGGTGGTTTGGGCATGTTCTTCGTCGTCCACCTCAGGAGTTCAGTGTGACTGCCTTCGACCCGGCATCGTTACGCTACTGGAGGCGCCGAAGAGGGGGTCAACTCAAAACCTGGCTCGATACAATTTGTCAGGATGCGGAGATGGTTCTTGGTCCTTCGGTATTTTGTCTCCGTCGTTGGCGAAGAGAATGGGTTGAATTGTCCAGATCTGCTGCTGCGGATCGTCACGCGTGGAGAGGTATAGTTTGGGACATTATCGAGGCCGGCTAGAGTAAGCATGATCGCAGCTGTGCCAAGTAAAAGTAACCTCGTCTGATTTGACCTGCAAGTCGAGGCGTTTGCGGGGATGTGGCCGCTACGTACAGCCTAGCTTCGTTGAACTACAGGTGAGAGTTTGGTGCCAGTTAAGGACCATGAGGAGCATTCACCATTTGCATGATACGACCAACCACCCGTGAACGGGCGCTCCCTATTTATACATCCCTACACCCCTTGTGACATGCTAGAAATGATCTCAGTGGCTATCTAAGAAGGACGAATGAGGCGCATTAAGAACGTTCTTCGTCGGCCTTCCATACTTACGGTGCTACTGCACCAACTAAGACACCGCTACCTGTGGACGATGAAGAACAAGACTGCTAAAATGCCGACTCCACGTATTCGGTCCACTTCGCTGGGAAAGAGAGGGAGTCAGGCTCTCCAAATTTTCTGCCGATGAGTGTCGTGCTTAAGCAAACCAAATCTGCGACGTCCTTGAAACCGACTTCATCAGGCATGACTGAATCCTTACGAGGAACGGATAAGTAAGCATCGTGCCGTCATGGTGGTCTTCCGTCATACTCAACGAGAATCACCGTTGCCTTACAAGACAGCGGTGACCAGCGCGTGAATCAATTTATAGTTCTGCGTGTTCACGCACTATTGGTCCTATTGTTTTCCGCACCCATTGAGTTCCGATGCTAAGGTCGAGCCGACTAAAGTTTGTGGGCGCTCAATGGTTGGTGTGGCATTGATGTCCTACGCGCGCCACGTTAACCAGCCTTCGACAGTTCGGATCCCTCATAGATGACAGTTGCCATGACCCATATATGGAAGCTGACATCGTGACTAGATCCTAAATTTACAGGAACATCTGGCATTAAGCATTGTGGCTTTCAAAAGTGTATAAGACTTATAATCATAGAGATGGTTGTGGGTGTTGGTTATGAATCGCCCAAGTTCTGCTCCCGCTTGTACCATTTGAAAACCAATCTTGCCAACGTAGCACATAACGGTCCTTTTTCGCGCTCCACACGTGTTTAACACTCACTTAATTTTGGAGCAATAATTCTGCTCTTTCAGGGGATCTGTGGTGTCACATCGAAGGGGCATGTCATGCAGTTTTCGTAATGTTCATAATGTAGGTGTCGTAATGTGGATTTCTTGCTGATGGACTCTTGTGGTTCATTTTATGCTGCTTTATAAACTAAGGGGCGAGTATTCGCCCAATTATTTTTATTCCCGTGTTCCCTGCTACTCTTACAAAACACAAACAACATAAGAACGTTTCGTTCGTGCTCATATTTTTTGTCCACTTGTTCGACTTAGAAATGGACGCATATGCCCGCGTCAAAGTTGGAAAGTTGAACCTCAAAGGTCATCCAGATCCGCCGCGTAAACGGAAAAGGTCCTCAAAGGCGAATGTGCCAGACACAAAAGTTGCTAAAGACGATTTTACCAAAGATCTGGCAGCGCACGACGGTTGGTGGATCATCTCGAAGTTCTCCGACGTAATTGGTCCCGTTGCAGTGCAGCTGACCCGACCTCAGGGCGAATCAGAAAAAGGCAGTGACGACAAGGCCCTCCTGTGCCCAGCCTACTATCTCTTTGCTACAGACGATGGCTTCATTGATCTTGGTCCGCCCAGGAAGGAGGGTGAACCTCCGGCCCCGGAGGAAATTTTCACGGCTGTGAAAGTATCAGACACTAAGGTGGCCTTCAAAACAGGGCAAGTGCACCATATCATCTTCCTGTGCAATGCCCTGTTCTTTCCTTTAGCTGCCGATACCTGAGGGGAAGTTGCCGCGTATAGAGCCCGTCTGATCGAAACCGGCGCATCATTAAGAACGAAAAGAAACGAGTGGCCGACCATTTCATGTAAATTAAATGAACGAATATTAACCATGTTTTTAGACGAAGTTAGATGAGTCTCACTGAATAATGCTCAGATGGTCTTCGTCTCGTCGTTCTGATTACAAGTCCTTGGGCCTGACATGATTTCAAAAACCACTTTGCTTGCCAACGTCTCAGTCCTAAGTCTGGACTGGTAGACTTAGCCGTCAAAAGCCCGTTTGCGTGTTTCGGAGATGGTGGAGGGGCGGTTGAGGACGCCTATGAAGTGCCCGGTCCACTGCTGTAGAATTTACGTCATCTCAGTGCGTAGAGTGGTTCCGTCGGAGCTGAGAAGAGGAGCGATTCCTTTGGCTTTGGGACCATAGACAGCTGTGGCGTTTAAGTTTTTCCACTGCTTGCGGTCCGCGTACCCCTGGATCTCCTAGACCTCGCGAGCCGTCCAGGTTCCCAGAACGTTCACTGACGTCATGGGAAGATGGGGGACGGTTGGTGGGGCAGTTGAGATTTGCGAGTTTCGCGTTTGGCAGCCAGTCTTCTGTCCCGCATGCTTGCTGGACTGCGTGAGCACCAGGAGAATTGACGCACACGCGCAAATTCCTGACGTAGTCGACCTACTGGTGAGTTTACTTTGTAGTGGCATCAACACCACCGTCGAGTGCTACTGCGACTGCAATTCCCTACCAAGTCCATAAACGGGTACGTTTTAGAAGGCCCAACCGCATGCATACAACACGGGCATAGCCTGTACAACTTAGCCGGGACGGTCATTCTCGTAAGATAAGTACGCAGCAGCCGGCCGAGTAGTCCTGACGATGAGACAACGAAGACGTGGGAAATATAACGGCGAACAACAGCAACAGCAGCCACCTCCGACAATGCCTCCGTCGCCGTCTCCTCTACGCTGCCCGCAACTTCGCTGGGCGCCACCGGCCGGTATCCACTCCTCCAGGTCAAAAAGAGTATCCAGTTCACCTGGCAGCCATGTACACGGTCTGTATACCCAGCGGGAGCTCAAACACATCCGCTGACAGGGAATCAGAGAACTGCTGGCGCACACCAGGCTGCGAGGGCCATGTTTTGTTGAAGCGTGGCATAGCATATGCACACAGTCCTTAAGGCCCATCAGGGTGAAACAGAGAGAGTCCTGCATTTATCCTGGGTCCATCACCCTTCAAAGGCGGGTAATCATTCAGTCATCGACTGAGAGGCACAACCCACACCTGTCGACCACTCTACGTACACGCACACAAGACCGACTACGGGTCTGGGCTGTACCGTCAGTTGGCAAGCCCCAAAGCCACGATGTTCACCGTTTCATGGTAGTTTCAAGCACGTCCGATTTATTATAATGAGGAATGCACTGAAGTACCATGGGGATGAAATCCCAGAGTCGGCATCACTCCCTTCCCTCTCCCGTGAACCAATCGATTGTCCGAACCGGTCAACCACCTAATGCCGAGATTGGTAGAGGTGTTTGAGCGAGCTTAAAGAGTTTGTCTACGTGCGCCTTACGCAACTTTGCATCCCTCAAAACACACCAAGTTTTCAAACATAGGGGGGTGAGCTGCTAAGATCTCACATACATTAAAACACTATGGGCAGTTGAAGTGGGTGCTCCCGGCACCGTTTTACTAGTCACAGTTCGATGGATCTGCAGGTGACTGACCAGGCCGTTGCTTGAAATAGAATCATAGACTGCCGTTTAATCCTTCACGTGATCAATTTCCGCTAGGTGCTTTTCAGTACCTTATTTCCTATCCTCAATATTTGTTCGCAGTCGAAGAAGTCACCAAATTAATCGGGTCATTAAGTCCCGCTTGCTTCGCTATGTTCGCCTTGTTCACATAATTTTATCATTGCTTTGGGAGATGGTAACGATAAGAATAACGATTGCTGACTATTTGGCAATGTTCCAACCGACAGGCATATGAGGTCGATATAGAGGGATGATACTATGGTAGGGGGCGCTCACCGATCGTTCTTACGGAACTCACTCGTCCCGTTGTGCCTTATGGACTCTCTCTCTCGAGCCCAATCAGCAGCCGCACAGCGGCGCATGGTATAGGCAGAATGGCATTATCGACAAAAACAAGGGAGACTGGAATGGCCATTTCTGGCTTATTAGCCGTCGTCAGTCAGTCATACCCAAACCCAAAGTGTGACACACACGAGGCTCGAACTCGCAGCCTGTTAGTTAGAAGTCCACGCCTCTAACCACTGAGCCACGAGCCCGTTACCCTGTTGGTTTCCATCGGGAATATACAATGGTAGGAGGGCGTTCACCGATCGTTCTTACGGAACTCACTCCTTCCGTTGGGATGATACTGGGAAGAATGGTCATAGTAGTGCTGGTGGCACCGGCGGCATCAACGATCTACATTTTTCCACAGTCAGATTTTTTACCCATAACCGATATTCGCGTTCTGTTTTTCTGTCTCTCACAATGTCGGAACACGCGAGAATTTTTTTGACTGTTACTTTAGTAAAAATCACATTTTGGTGGAATTCGCCGTTCTATCCCGCTTGCAGGGTGGCATACGATCTCCCGGCTTAGAATTGTCTGATAATATGTGTTAGTTAGCAGTGCTTCCCTACAATAAAATATTGACGCCTCTTAACTGACATAACTATTATTCTTGTATGTTATCATACCATAGGTACGGAAAGTATTTGACCACGGACACAAATGCCGGTGGGGTGGTGACAGCTGCCGCAGACGCGGTGGGCCCTAGAGAACAGTTTGAGCCAGTTTTTCAGGACAATCAGTCTGCCCTTCTCGGTTTCAACAATTGTTTCCTGTCTGTTGATCCGACCAATGACCGAGCTGTCTGCCGCGCCTCCAAAGCTGGGCCTACGGAGATGCTTGCGGTGACCAGATTTCTTAGTTTCTTTTTTATGTTTTCTCGTCTTTGTCGTGGTGGGGTTCCCACCTTCACATCGGTGCTGTTTAGCTTCGGTTCTGAACTGCTCTCGCAGCCCAATATGCCGCCACAGAAGGCGTCCTCCAGTATGTTGTGGCACAAAATGCCTGCCCTCGGTATCTGTCATCCCGTGCTTGCGCGAACATTTTTTCTGCGTTTCTACGTTCCAGATAGACGCGTCAAGCGGACACCCTCAAATTTCCTCCTTTAACCGGGACCATAGTGAAACTTGAAGGTGCAAACTGCCGCGGGACAACTGTCGAGTCAGATGTGGTTATGTAGCCGCATCTGAGGTAAACAATCCCCAACCGTAAATACGGGACCAGGTGAGGCCGGGGAACGCACAGGCGACGAGATCAAGTGTTGGGAATGCGCGATTGTACTTTGAGAGGTTGAGGACTAGTTGCCCTAACTCTAACCCTAACCATAACGTCTGGCCCTAACCCTTAACCACAGCCCTAAACCCTCACCCTGGAAAATCCAACGCGGAAGTTAGAAGGAGACGACAGGCCGAAAGTTAAGAAGGATCACCGGCATCGAGCCGAAAATGGTATACACGGCAACAAAGAAACAAGGCCACCAACAGAACACACAGCGACACCATGCCAACGTAATCGCACCAACCCAAAATAATGAATTAGGTCATCAGTATTGTGACCATCAGGTGCGGCTACATAATCAACTTACCGTCCCCGGTACTGTGGTGGGCGTCGTCGCGTGCGACGGTCGAAATGTCGTCTTAACTGCGAAGTATTTGACCACTCGGGCGTCTGAAACGTTAAGATGCCAGGCAATTTAGTGACACGCGGAGGCCCATCCCTCAGACAGCCATATACGCGCTCCACAAAAGAATATTAGTCGGCTGTTGAGGTCATGTTCCTTTTCCACCTGCTCCCACACGGAGGCGAAATCCGTCGCTCATGCTATGACGTACATGTGTTCGCTTGCTTTTTCGATTAACAAGGATCCTGGTTTGGGTGAGTGGCACCGTAAAGCAGTACAGCGGATACTCTGGTTAATCGTTGTCCGGCTGACGTTTCACTCCTAAATACTTATTTTAATTAACAGTACAACTCTGGCTGTCACGTAGTTCGTTTTTCACAAGTGCTTATCGCGGGTATTTTGTTCTTCTTCTTACAGATACGTTGTAATCGCGAACTCTCTCATGATCCCCTCATGGACATGCCTGAAGAAGAACGCAGTGGTGTCAGAAAAGCTGAATACAATTACGTGTACGTTCCCCATTGGTCTCTTGTCATGCTTTTCAAATTTCCGAATCTTCTCTTGGTTTTCAACCCAGAAGCTGGCGAACTGCGTGGTTAAAGATTTTTCGGCGGGCAGTCGGATGACAAAATGCGGACGAGTAGGTGATTGCTTCACATTCTCGAAACAAAAGTTCTAATGAGTCAATAGAAGCGAAGAGACCAGTCCCAGGAAGCAGTCTTGAAGAAGGAAACGCGATCGCTGGGACAAGAGCTTTATTAGCCTGCTGATAGGTTCGAGCAGGAATCCGAAACGTCAGGCTAATAAAGCTCTCGTCCCAGCGATCGTGTCTCCTTCTTCAATTCTCATAAGTGGAAGCAAATAAGCTAATGTCGGGTTCTTGTTGGGAAGACGATGAAGACCTAATCAAGCTGCCGAACTCGTGCAGTGGTCCACCAACAGACACTGAGTGCAGGAAATGAGCACTTTTGTAGTCGAACAGTGAGAGCGGAGGGGTAGCGCCTGTGACTAGGTCGGGGGCGTGCCGCCTAACTCACAGTGGTCTCACGGCACGCGTCCTTGACGGATAAATTGGCCGCGCCACCCGGCTGCATGGGCGTAGTGCGCGATAGCTGGGGCTTCGGACGATGTGTGTTAATGGAGTTAATGCCAGACACCCACGCCTCCAGCAGTTCCCCCCTCATCTTGTCGCCGGCTCGCGCCAGTATCCGCGTGCTCGCAAAGTCAAACTCTTGACCTTCCTCCAACTTGTAAGTAGCGACTTTAAATTATGAAGCGCTGGCTGGCCACTTTAGAAGTGTCCACAATCGCCCATCAACCATCACTGCCGCCGCCGCCGCCATCAACATTGACCTGGATCTCTCACCCTCCCAAAAACCATCGCTGCCATGTAACAGCGGTAAAGCCATAGACTTCGATGCGATTCCAGCTGAATTCTATAAGCACGCAGCCACCAACTGACGGATCACTTTACAGCGCACTTCCGGAGGTGTCGCGATGAAAACATGTCCCTCAGAATTTCCGGACACTACAGTTGCACATCCCTACAAGCGCAAAGAGAACCAACCACAGAGGTATCTCGCTGCTCAACATCATCGGGAAGATCTTCGTTCGCCTTCTCCTCAATCATCTCAACGGAAATCCCGAACAGGGACGTCTGCCGGAAAGTGCGGATTCTGACGCCATCACGGAACCGCTGACATGATCTTCGCCACTCGTCAGCTACAAAAGAAGTGTCAGGAGATGCTAACCCACCTCTGAAAGTACGCAGGCAGTGAGGGCAGTTGAGGCAGATGCGGCGAGTGTGGTTGGGTGCTCGAGGCACTGGTTCGCCAATCTCTGTGCGATGGATTCGCAAGTAACCTACCAGACCGATGTGTGAGGTGAAAGTGCGGTCGGAATGAGGACAGGTATGGACCGACTCTGACACCGCCGACTTTTCCTGTCCCGACTGTCCCCGTAAACTCACCTCACACATCGACCCGGTCCGTCACTTCCGAATCCATTGCACAGAAACTGGCTAACCACTGCCTGAAATGTCAACATATGCCCGTCGCTATAGCCTCAACTGTCCGCGCTGTTCTCTCACACCCAGCCGCCGCATGTACCTACTTTGCCACCTGCGTCTCCACAAGAATCTGCGGGAAATCGCCGTAGACTAGACCAAATCACCGCACATTTCCCCATCAGCACATGAACGCCTCCAGCATCACATTATGAAGGCACTTCTCACGTAAATGAGAAATGCGTTCTCCGGCAGCTTTCTCCACGTGGCCTCTCTGCTATATGTGAGATCCGAGCATTCACCCCTTTGTGCGAAATCCCGGTGCATTATGTTGGGGCAGGTCGTGTGTGTTTGGCACACGCAGACGGGTTGTTTTCAGCTCTGTCAGCCACCTCCCCCAAGCTTACCAAGTCACCACCTCTGTCATTTCCCACTACTTGTCGCGCTCTTTTGACGACATAACCACGTTCGCAGTACAGAATCAGGATTCAGGGATAAAAATCAAAACCCATTAAAATTTGCAACAAATTGTATATCCTTATGCAACTGCAATAAGCCTCCATAAATTTACTTCCTAGCCGCAAGTTTCAAAGTTGGCAGGACAAGAAAATCCGCCTGACGCGCGAAGATGCGCATGCGCTGAAGTCAGCTAAGACCGAGGGCAGACTCCACGAGTGCATGTTGGACAGGTGCGTTCAACTTTCCTACCGTAAAATCCGCTCCCTCATTTACCAGTCACTCCTTAAATGCCTTTCTTTACCAATTGTATTTTCTCGTTTTAGGCGGGAGAAGATGAAATCGGATCGCTACTGCAAATAGCCCCTTGTTCTTTGCCTACTGTTTTTTTAAATAATAAACCTAACTGACCGTTTTCTATGCTGATTTAGGGAGACTTTTATCCCACTCCCCTGTTGCTAAGACTGGGAGTTTGCGTATTTGCAAAGACTGCTGTTTCACACAGCTTACTGAAATCCGACAAAACCCAACCTCACCAATAAGTACCACTTCTGTTTAGACCGTTAGAGCGGGCTGCATTTTATATACAGTGTATTTGGTTACTCATTAAATGTGCGGACATTTGCGAAACATTTCTAATCACTTGCGAACCGGCAAAAACGAATGGACTGAAATTCTAAATTAATAATGAACGGCTTTAAGCCGTGCTCATTGTTTGTTAGGGCGGCCGTGAGCGGGACGCACCATTGTCGTCCGGTAGTCATGCGCGAAATGGAACCACCACCAATCCAGCGCGTGACTCGGCACTTTCCACGCTGCCGGATTATACGCAACCTTCGGGGGGCGGCATCGCGCGAGGTTCTGCCTATGCGGGCGCTTGGGACTCAGCCAATAGGAACATTAGAGTCCGATAAGGACGAGACCCTTTAATACGATCTCATGGGCGGGAGGGTTGAGAATTGGTGCACATAGTGGTTGTCGCAGCAAAGTCATCCTGTTATTTGTTTCACGCAACAACTGGGAAATATAATAAGCGGCGACGCAGGCAAACAGAAACTGATCGGCGAAGAACGGATGCGGAAATTATCAGAACCATAGCAAGCCAGTTTTGTCGCTCTCCTCACAAACATGCGGAAAGAAAGGAGGCACACAAGAAACGACGGCGGAAGGAAATCACTGGAAGACGTGATAACAGACCGAACCAAAAGGCGAGGTGGCGGACTTGCCCTATATATCAGTGATGCAGTCAAATATGACCCTGTTGAAGAATGCAAATAAGCATGACCTGAAGGTGCTACAGTGTCATTTGTTAACTCCTAAAGCCGAAAATTTTACTGCCACCGTTGTGTGTAGGCTTCCAAGTCGACCTGCCGACTAAGATCAAACGTTAATCACTCGACTTCGCGAAGACAGTCGAAAACAAGACATTGTTATTGTGAGAGATTTCAATGCGCCGCGGATTAACTGGAACCTTATGACAGTTGACGGCCGCAGACAAGGATTTGACCAAATGCTATTAGACACGGCACTTGATTGACTTCCGTTTCAACATGTGGGAACTGTGAATCGGATGCGTGAAGGTCAGAGAGCTAATTGCCTAGACCTACTGTTTACCAAGAACGAGGAAAGCGTTGATGAAATAAATGTAGGCCTGCCTCTAGGTTTATGTCATCACATGACATTAATGTGGGAATCGACACTCGTAGCTGCCCCCGAACGAAACCCAAAGTCGTTAGAAAATGTCGGGCGGGGTAACTTTGGAGCAACGATATCGGAGACTGGACACATACTACGGACGAAAGCATTACGAGGAGATGTCAGTGAATGCTGGACAACCTTCAAACCAACTATGAGAGACTTGATCCATCGATACTGTCCTTTCAGGAAACATCCGACTGGAAACAAGCCGAAATGGCTGACGACATCAACTACGAAGACAATGCACAAAAAGCGCTAGCTGTGGAAAATCTTCTTAAAGCGAGGAGTCCAGGAAAACTTCAAGAATTTAGACAACAACGAAACTCATGCAAAAGACTCTCCCGTGAATACGTTATCCCTATGAACTGAAGCTCCCGAAAAGGGTACAGCAAAAACCCAAAACCTTCCATGCATACATCAGGAGCAATACAAAAAACATGCATTTGCTGCAAACTGATGGAAAGGATAGAAAAAATCAATTACGTCTTTCGATACATTCCGCTGTCAGATCAGTTCAGTTCGACATGGCTTCTGTGAAAAGGGGTTCTGCCTCACAAACCTGCGTACGTGGCTCGAGCATTGGTCAAAGGCTATGGATGAACGACATCCAGTAGATGCCACTTACTTTGACTTTGGTGAGGCGTTCGATTGCATTCCCAATAGGCGTCTCGTTCAAAAGTTGTCAGGCGTAGGGATAGGAGGCAGTCTTCTTAACTGGATTCAAGATTTCTTAAACGGTCGTAGACAAAAAGTCACTGCGGGTGGCTACTACTCAGAATGGGCGCCCATTAAAAGTGGAGTCCCAAAAGGGTCAGTTCTTGGGCCGATCCTATTCATTATCTACGTAAGTGATTTGGTAGGGGAAATCAAACCGGGCACAGCGTTCTTTGCAGACGATTTTTAACTTTGGTGGGTGATAAAAGATAAAAAACGTCATGATACTACAAGAGAACATAAAAATTTGCACTCATGGAGCAAGAAATGGTGCATGAAATTCAATGTCAGAAATGTGTGGTAGTGCACGTAGTATCAGCAAGGCGAAGAACAAATGCGCCCGAGCGACAGTATCTTCTGGAATATCAACAACTTAAAACCGTAGATGTGCAAAAAGCTTTCGGCTTATTCATTAAAGACGACCTAGTTGCCACTGCAGTGTTCTAAAGTCGCATCGCAGACAATGTCAGTCATGAGCGCGATGAGAAGAACGTTTATTAACTTGAATGCGGATGAATTTGGCAAGGTTTAGGGCCCTGCCAGCACATTGCCCCTTCATAGGCGGGGCTGGGTGGGGCCAGAGCCCCCTCTGGATTGAAGCATTTTGAAGCGTATTTGTATCGAAACATATGTTTCAAAAGCACCACTCATTGTACTTTCTTTGGCATTAAAAGGAGCCAATTTATCAAAATTGGCTTATAAATCATGGAGAAAGCATCCGTTTACGTCCACTGGATGTAGCTGCGGATGAGCACAATAAACTGAGGTTTCGTTTAAGTCCCTCATTGCGTAAACTCTTATTTGTCCACCGGTTTACAATCTGTGTGTGTTATTAATTCGTATATTTGACAATCGGGACGATATTTTAAAGTGGTGCCAAAAGTGGGCGGGGATGTGGCCTCCCCTGCGCATTTTTTTACGCTGGCGGGGCTAGGCGGGGCTATTGCGTTGCATGCCCCGCCACAGCCCCCTCCACAGCCCCGCCTAGCCCCCTCATGGCCCCCTCTAGCCCCGCCATTATTGAGGTGGCCAGGCGGGGCTGGGCTGGTGCTGGCAGGGGGGGTATTTGTGCGGCCGCATTTGGAATATGCGGTAGAGGCTTGGCGGCCGTGACTTCGGAAGGATGTAGATATTCTTGAAGGTGTACAGCGAAGTGTTGCGAAGACTCCCCATGAACTTAAAGTATTTACGCACGAGCTGGGACCGACGGCCTTGAAACTCTATACCCTCCACTACAGGCAGGATAGAAGTGACTTCGTAGCAAAGTTTCACTTGTTAAGAGGACTTGATTTGAATGTTGACTGGGAAACTCCTTTTGAAATGGCACCAAAGACTAATCTCGGATGACAGGATAACCAGTTTAAAAAGGAACTGTGCCACACAAATCAGCGTTCCTCCTTTTTCCTCGCAGAGGGCCATTCGCCAATGGAATTCTTTGCCGACGTAAGTTGCTAATTCCTCTATCTTAAGTGTGCTCAACAGACGTCTGGATAATCACCTGTTAAAAGGCTACCCGATCTCCCGAAGCCCGATCTAGCGGATTGCTGAAATGACTATCATCATACTACTGGCGCAAATTCAGTGGTTCCTTTTGTGTACATTAACGTGGAGCCACGTAAAAATTTTCCCAGTCCGAGTGCCGTGAACGATTTTTTGCAGTTATTTTTCAAACGCCAAACCTTTTCCGCATTTATGTTCTGCTATCAGATTTATGCATTTTGCACACTAAAACTGCATGCAAAATTTTTGTCATTGAACTATTTTTCCTCACACATGTACGGTATAAACAGAGTTTTCAGGACTTCTGTCATTTACTCCAAATATACTCACTGATGCTGGCTGATATTATTACGGGTGGAGCAGCAAAGATTTGTATTCATGGTACATTTTCGACCACTGCTTAAAGTCGCACTACCAACAGGACCACCACTAGAAATACCAAGGCGCTATGGCTGATGATGTTAGAATCATTATGGATACGAGAAGTCCTTTTGCCGAAACTTAGACGCACGGAACTGTTACTATTGCTTCCAGCAGCACTGCTGCAGCCAGTTTTACAACTACTTGTTTACTATAACTGATACTATGAATACAACTACTGTCGCCGCTCTAACAGTAGCCAGGTTGTCTATTAGTTCGACTACTACCACCCACACCAAAGCTACTGTCATTACTACCTCAGCTACCTTTAATACTACTAATATTATCAATTCAAGAAGTACCAAGTTTGTCGTTAAAATCTAAAATTAACACGCCCACGAATACTAATATTACTAGTGCCGCTAACATTGTTACTACTGTGCTACAACTGCGACGACCAATACGAGACTACGGGAAATGGAAGTTGACGCAACTGCTACTGCATCGACTACTGTAACCTCTGCCATTACTACAACTACCAGTACGACTTCCACTGACACACCTGCTGCCATCATTCGGGCGACAAGGTCAACTAAAAATACCGATAAAGGCAATCATCACTCCCACTCCTGCTGCTAATAACACTCTCCAGGCAATTATATTCTCGGTCGCTTGTACGGTTGGCCAAGTCAGCTGGCACAATTGTTATTATGCTTGGCACATCGTTTATTTCTATACTTGGACCGTTATTACTACAACTACACGTCCACTTAATACTCCTTGTAATACCACATGTCAAACGGCCATTACCGTGACTGCCACTACTACCTTTACCACTAGTACCGCGGACATTAGGACTAGTGGTTATGACAAATACTGCAATTATGAATAGCAGGGTAAATGCACAACTAATACGCTTACATGTACTACATGTCGAAAGTTCGTGGTTATTTCATTGCTGCCGCTACTAGTGGAGCCACAGGCCTTACTGTTACTGCTGAATAAAAACAATAATAATTTTTTATTAAAGACTCGTCGGGGTCCCATCAAAGCAAGTAAAAATAAATTTACATGCGAATTTTAGACGGGAT